ATATGTGCTGAGAGTGTGCGTCCTGTGTGCTCCCAGTAAATATGTCCACAACGAGAAAAGGAGAGAAGCGCCTCTAAGTGCAATAAGTCTTTTTATTCAAGTCTAAATGTAGAAACACTCACATGTGTGAAGTAATCATAAGCTTAAAAACCGTGGTTAACAATAGTTAACGGTGGGGTGGTAACCGGGTGAAAAGCCGTCATCTTACTGCGATGTGGGGAGGTCAGCTCTCGGCTGGACCAGCGTGGTGGCTGGAGGGAAACAGCGGTGAGTCCGGCCGGCATGCACGTCCTCCCTCAGAGCCGGATGGGACGCACGCTGGAACGTAGTGGTGGCGTGGCCATGATGACGTCAGATCCCAGGGTGCACTGCGACGCGTTTCGGAGCATGCACTGGCCGTGGAAGGCGGAAGTGCGCTCCTTTTTCAAGCCTTCCTCATTTTTTCTTAAACATATGTCCACAACTCCTGGAAAGGTCCCAATCTCCCCTTTTGATCGGGACCTTTTCCGACCATGTGACTGCCATGACGGCGAATCACAGCGGTCACATGACCATAAAACCCCGCCCTGCCTCCTTGCTTCTGAAACACTTAAAGGGCCAGGAGGCACCGGCATCAAGATGTTAAATTAACATTGGTCAAACTAGAAAAAAGTTATTTTCATTTTATTTTTTTATCTTTAGATTACATTAAAAAATATATATATATCTGAAAGGTATCATGTATAAAGAAAGCCTTGTCTATCTTGAAAATAAAATTACATATGCATTACTTTGTTATCTAAGTAATGGAAAAGTTATAGGTGAATCAATAGGCCCATAATAATGATGGAAAAATTGCTCTGTTCCATATTGCCAGAGCCAAAATGGTTAATAGCAACAGACACTGTTTACACCAGTTTACTTGGCTTTGCTACACCACAAATTTACTTTAAATAAACCAGTAAGAATGTCTGCTTGAAGGATGGTGACTCTGCCTTCAATTTATCACTTCAATCTAAATCGCATTTGCAAGCCCATAAATTCGACCTCTTTCATGGTGGTATATATAAAAAGACCATTATGTCATGTTTGATAGGTAATTATTTGCTCAGCGATCTGGTACCTTTAATATGAGGAATTCATCGTTGATGCAAAGAATTCTATTTTATGACAGCTGCTCTCCTTTATTTGAAGAGCTCAGCGCCACCAAAAGATATAATCAATTCAAGAACGGATACTGTATTATTTGACAGTTAAACACTGCAACAGTGTCACCTGTGCTGAATTATGTAGGTGCCTAGCCCTTAATGTCACTTTTTCTTCGCCTAGAAATTTTTAAAGGGAAATGTTTAAAAAAAAATGGTTACTGTTGCGAAGGAACCTAAAGCCATCCCTGATTTTGTAACCATGGCATCAGTGCTCCATAGAGAGTTCTCAGCCCCTTACGCATGCAGCCAGTTCAAAACTTTTCTCAGAAATCTGAAAGGAGCTTGCAGAATTTCAATAACCCTCTGAAAGCTCTCAACATTTACTGCAATGTACCCTTCAATATTTGTCATATGACCTGCATTTTCAAATACCTCTAAGGACACTGCATGTCTGGAGGGATTGGGGAGTGATACAGTTAGCAAACACCTGACCATCACATCTATTTGAATTTGTTTAGAAATCTCATGCCAAAACCATACACATTCATATGGGTGTGACGGAACGCGGCGCTCGACCCCTGCCCTGCTCACCAACACATGACCGAAGGACCAGCCGATCTCACACCACGCTGTCACTTGTGTAACAATGCCACAATCAGCAAAACCCTGCACAAAGATTTTCCAGCTCGCGGGACTACAATCTATGTGCCAGCAGCCTGAGAGCAATTGTTACTGGGTCAGGTTAATTAAGCAATTAACCCTTCACACTGCCACCACCACCTTTTTACAGAGAAGGAGGAAACTCATAAATCCTAGCAGTAACACTATGATATTAGCATAAATGTCTAACACACGCTGTCACCGCAGGCAAGTATGTTCACAGAATTATTACATACAGTAGCACTCTTCAAGAGACAGGGATTCTTTAGTTTGCATTAAAAGCTTTAGAGACAGTTTCAACACTTTTCAAAATAGGGTTTATTACTAAAAAGGTCAAAATGGTGCAATTAAAATATTTACAGAAAAAAGGTGTTACAAAGACAAAGAGAACAATAAAACAAAGAAAAAAAAGAAAGGAGTTAAGAAGGCAGATTGCCTTGGCTCTCAAGTCCGTTAGATGTTTCCTGATTGATGTCAAACGAGAGCTGTCTTTTCCCCAGCCTGTCAGTCCTTTTCTATGATATTAAAGTGGTGTCGCCAGAGAACAAATGACCAATCATCCAGTTTGGGGATGGGGTGCTAGAAGATAACCAAGGTTATGATCAAGTCAATAACCTTCAATAGGTGCAGGTGGTATCCTAGCAACTGGCAGGATAATATTCAAAATTATATTTCACCACCAAGGATACCAAACACAGTGTACCCTTGTCACCCAGGAGGGAAGAGACTGCTTTCTTCCCCTTCCTAGGTGCTAATATATATGTAAGGCCTTGTTTGACTCACATTAAAATGGTCTATCCAAATATATACCCAATATTATTGTGCCCAGTTCTTGCTGAACTTTATGAATTGTTACATGTGGAATGGACATTTTATGGCACGCTCTGTATTCCTAGAGCCCTAATGGTCTAACAGGTCATGACTGACTAAGTTATTGTTTTATATTCGGGCAGAGGAAAATGGTTTTCAAAGCAGACCTCCTGCACCAGACTAATTAGTGGTTTACAGTCCTGGAGCTTCATCTATCTGTGTTTTTGTTAAGATAAGAGGCCCTTTTGACATCCGTTCAACTTACGGCTATAAATTCCATTTCAAGAGGGAGGAGAGGAGAGACAAAATGGCTGAGGCCTCACAACATGGCTGTCATGTACAGTGTCTATGTCTCTATTGCACACAATCATCACAATGGGGTTGTCCCAGTTTGCATCTATAACAATCTCCGCTCCCCTGGGATGCTTTCAACAATAATTTTTTGCAGTGTCTGTGAAAATTTGAACCCAGCTGATGTTAGATGATAACACCAGGCTCACCATCAGAGGTCATGCACAACAAACTTATCAAACCATATGGACCTGGTTTTGCACAGTGGCACAGTTATGCTGAATGAGAAAACGACCTTCCCCAAACTGTTGCCAAAAGGTTAGAAGCATATTCATAAAGAAACACCAAAATGATGAAACTTTAAATATCCCTTCAAGGGTCAAATATACGCATAACAACTTAATTAAAAATATTTTACAACACTTTGATCCACGGATATAAAACCATGATTAAATTAAAAACATTAGTAATATAGAGCGTAGAATCTGTCCCTTATCTCCCACATATAGAGTGCCTTAGGAGAAGACCCCTTTTTCTTTGATTGCTATCGAGGACCATCTATTTGGGATCATCATTTTAGGTTTCTTTATGCCTCCTTGAGGGTCGCATTTTGAAGGTGAGTGCGCACACTAGCCGGTGGAGGATTATTTATACATATATATTTATGTATATATATATATTCATTACTGGATGTCTCACGGCGTGTGTTGAAGATTCATTGTGTTCCCCTGTATTTTTGGGACTGCCATTATCATTTTTTGGGACTTACTTTATCACATCAACAAATCAATTTTATTATCATTATTTTCTTGTGTTCACTTCAGTCACTAGCACAGTATTAGCACATTGTGCTGCCTTTATTGATATTTGCTATTGTCTGCACCTATTCATGTTTTTTGCATATGTAATTTTCATACTTGGATGAGGAGTCATATGTGCATTCATTTTCTGATTTATTTATTTATGTTTTATTGTTCATGCACTGAGTAGCGCAGCACCAATTCAATTCTTTTTTTGCATCCACAAACTCATGCCTATATAGTATAGGAATGTACAGTATGTTATAATATTCTCTGTTAGGATTCCAAGCATATCATTCCAAACTGTGGTCTGGGGGCCAAATTTGGCACTTTTTATTCTTGAATGAGGAAAGAAAAAAACAGAGGGCGCACAGGCCTAGTGCATTACCATAAAAAATGTTTAATAAAAATTAAAGTAGGTGTTGTACTCACAAATGACAATATAGTCAAGGCACATCATAAAGAACAGCTGGGTCAATAATGCGCTGAGTAACAGTCCACTCTGAGGAAGAGGCAAGTCCTTGAAATGCGTCAGCCTGTTGGATGTCTACACTCCCCATTGTGGACTGTTACTCAGCGCAGTGTTGACCCAGCTGTTCTTTATCATGTGCCTTGACTATATTGTCATTTGTGAGTACAACACCTACTTTAATTTTTATTAAAAACACTTTTATGGTAATGCACTAGGCCTGTGCACCCTCTGTTTTTCTTTTCCTCATTGAGTATATTTGGATTCCCCCAGTCTATTTGAGGGCAGCAAGGTGTGCATGTTCCAGGACATTCCTAATATGGTTGTAGCCTGCATCGAGTCCATCCCCAAGCGCAGGAGCATTTGTGTTCGCTGACATTTTATTCTTGCCCTTACCCATTCCTTGGGGCACTATGGGGCAATAATTCCTGCAGTGACACCAACAATGGTTATGAGACCATGTAAAGTGATTCTAAAGGTTGTAAAGAAAGGATTGCTCCCAAGCCAAGCTCCTGTGAATGGCAATTATTAACCACTTGCCTACCAGGCACTTATACCCCCTTATTTACCAGGCCAATTTTCAGCTTTCAGCGCTGCCGCACTTTGATTGACAATTGCGCGGTCATGCAACATTGTACCCATATGAAATTTTGATCATTTTTTTCTCACAAATAGAGCTTTCTTTTGGTGGTATTTAATCGCCACTGGGCACTTTACTTTTTGCGCTATAAATAAAAAAAAGTGCAAAAAATTTGAAAAAAAAAAAAAAGTTTGTTTTAAAATATATAAAAAATATATAAAATTTTTCAAACAGGTATTTTTTCTCCTTCACTGATGTGCGTTGATGAGGCAGCACTGATGGGCACTGATAGGCAGCACTAAAGGGCACTGATAGGCAGTACACTAATGAGGTGGCACGGATAGGCGGCACTAATATGCAGCACTGATAGGCGGCACTGATAGGTGACACTGATTATGGGTACTGATAGACGGCACTGACTGGCATCACTGCTGGGCACTGACTGGCACAACCCCTGGGCACTGACTGGTGGCACTGACTGGCAGCACTGCTGGGCTGCACTGGTGGGTGGCACTGGTGGTACTGTGGGCACAGGTGGGTGGGCACAGGTGGGCACTGGGGGCACTGCTGGGCACAGGTAGGTGGCACTGCAGAGTGGCACAGGTGGGTGCACTGCTGGGCACAGGTGGGTGCACTGCTGGACACGGGTGGGTGATCTGCTGGGCACGGGTGGGCGGAGCTAGCGGGCGCACTGCTGGGCACAGGTGGGCGGGACTTGCGGGTGGCACTGCTGGGCACCGATCATCAGTGCCCTGATGATCGGTGCCGATCCCCGCTCTGACAACTGCCGTTTCTCGGCAGTACTTTCCTCACGATCTCACAGTGTGAGGAAAGTGCAGCCGAGAACCGGCACTTGCATTTCCCTCTGATCAGCGTGTCATTGGACACTGCTGATCACGTGGTAAAAGGCCGCTGTGATTGGCCTTTTACCACATCACGTGATCAGCTGTGTCCGTAGGAGAGCGCGTTCTGGGAGGCAGGAAGCGTCATATGACGTCCACTCAGAACTGGCCGGCCGCAGTGCAGCTGTCATACGGCTATCTGCGGTCGGCAGCTAGTTAATTCACACACAGAGCATGGCTCACCCCCACCCCTCTCCTCATTGGCTCACTGGCTGTGATTGACAGCAGCAGGACCCAATGGCTCCCGCTGCTATGTGAAATAATGAGCAAGAGAGACCCCGGGAGAGTTGCGGCTCTCATGCACAATGCTGGATCGAGATGGGGCTCAAGTAACTATAGAGGGGGCTGGGGCTGCACCCAGAAGGTTTTTTTTTATCTTAATGCACAGAATGCATTAAGGTAAAAAACCTTCTGCGTTTAGAACCACCTTAAACCCCGTATTTGGGTTTCCTCCCTAACTATTCACAAATAAGAAAAGAATCCTTGAATATATCTTTATTCTCACCTGAGTCTGCCATCACGTGACCCTCTGCAGTTCCTTTTCCAGGAGTGAAGACCTGTGATCCAGCACTACAGCAGCCTTGTTGGCACCCTTTTTTGTGACAACATCCTACCACTACAGTCTTCTGGAGCCTGCCTGAGAAGACATAACCATTGAACAGCCAATAGGAAATGTCTGTATCAACCAAGCAATGATATCTAAAGAATGACCCTCCAACTCTGCATTCCAAAAGATAGAAGAGTCTGGGTCTGGCGTGTTATTACATGAATGTAAACTTAGATAAGTAAAAGGGGCTTAGGAATTAAATTTTATTTTTTATTAGCTAGAGGGTGATGGGGAGTATTGATTGTGGGGTCGAGAGCATCCTGAGTAGATATGTGCACACCGGAAATTTTTGTTTCATTTCCGATGCATTCGTTCATTGAAAAATGTGTTTTTTTTGTATGCGTTATGTTGAACTGATTCATTTTCAGAATTTGTTTTGTATATTCGTTGGTCCGGGTGGATTAGAAAAATTTAGCAGTTTTTTTCCGGATGATTGCTATATATTAGTTTTCGGTTTCGATATTTTGGGTGGATTCATTATTCATATATCGAAACTATTCAATCTTTTCAGATGCAATGGAATAAATATAATGCAAAATTCAGTGCCCCTGAACATTTCAAGCCTAAGAATTGCACTAGACTGTGGAACTGAACTGACTGGCTGTGACAATTACAAATTCAATTTAAATCACAAGTTCACTTGAATCTGAACTATCGCATCATGTGACGTTATCCGTGTGAAATAAATGCATTTGTTAATTTAATTATAACTTTGTCTGATTCATTGACATTCGTTACTACAGTATGCCCATTTGGAGATTTGTATACATCTGAATCTCCGAAAATCAAAATTTCTTCTGAAAGCCATCTTGTTACGAAACAAAACACATGTGTCTAATCCTGAATTCAGCTTCAACTTTCACAAGCTCATACTGTCAGCGGTCACTAAAACTCATCTAGCTATTATTGCTTGTTGCATGCATATTTTTACCCACCAAGTCATGTACAGAAAGTCAACTTTCATTTTACTTTTCCTGGCCTTGTAGTCAAGGCCCTTTGCACACTAACATAATGGGAATAGAATCTCTACATTGTAACACAATGGAAGTAGAATGTTCCCATTGTAACCTAATGGGAATAGAATCTTCACATGGTAACACAATGGAAAAAGAATCTTCACATGGTAACACAATGGGAAAAGAATCTTCACATGGTAAACAATGGGAAAAGAATCTTCACATGGTAACACAATGGGAAAAGAATCTTTCTGTCCTTTAGTCAATGGCTCTCTCCTTCACAGATCCATGACGTGTACATTTTGTTAATAGATCCTGGTATGATTTAACAGGACATGCAACGAAGTGTTTATGACCATTAGCTGAAAATAGGTTCCATTGCTCAGCTGGTCAATGTTCATTACTCAAAAAAAAAAACCTATTTGTGGTTTGGAAATCAGACTTAATTAGTGTCATACATTTCACGCTTGCTCTGTGTCAATTGTTCTAATGGCCGAATATCTGTGAACTTGTGAAATTAATAGGTAGCTCTGCTGGAGTAAGATAATAATGAATGAACAATGGGAGTGTTAATTACCTTTCCTGTGAAAGCACCTAATATAAGCAATATCCTAACGCTCAGCACTTATGCTTTCAATATTTACGTAGCTGGTGTGCGTAGGAGTCAATCTTGGCCATTTCTCATGCGCTAATGCATGTCATTGGTCACATTTATGATCCCACAAAGGAAGATTTATCGGATATTAATTTAACTAAATCTTGATGAAATCATGGAGGAGAATAGGCCATTTCTGTTTTTCAGTGTTTGATTTTAGTTGAGGAGGCGGCAGAATTTTTCCAGTATTCCAGTAAAAAGCTTTAGCTTTGTTCAGACTTACCAGGTACAGTGTAATTAAAAATAAGTTTCATCTGAAAAAATATGTCAGAACAACTTACAGCCCAACTGTGAGCAAAAAAAAAAAGTTTTCCCACTCAGTGGGGCTGTGCCTGCACTGCATGGGTTAACTGCTCATTTTGTCTAGGGGCAAACAGAACGCTTATACTTACCTAATCTTCTGCCCTAGTGGCAAACGGCACTCCCCCACGATCCAGCAGTGGACTGTTACTGATGTCCTCATGTCAAGAGAAGCGCTATGGGCTTGATGATGTCAGGAACAGTCCACCACACAAGACCACTAGACTGCAGGGGGGCAAGAGCCACGGGGACTGGTCTTGTGCTGGAAGGATTGGAGGATTAGGCAAGTATATCTCCATTCTCCAATACCCTAAGCAAAAATGAGCAGTTACCCTTGCAATGTGGACACAGAACCACTGCAAGGGATTTTTTTTCCCAGAGCTTTAAAGAAATGGACATATCTTTTTCTAGAGAAGAGTACATAGGGTTATGGACTCCTTTCTCTCCCCTCATTAGGCTCCATTACTCTCGTATGAGAGGGGGGTAAATGAGTCATATGCTTGTTCATACTTGAAAGTCTAGTTATTTCACTTTGCTCCCTGCTGCTAAAAAAAGTGTAAAGGGTAAAAGCAAAAATTAAGTTGAGAGCATGCTATTTAATTTCAATGAACCTTTACAAGCAATAAAAGGATAGGTTGGGCAGCACAGGGGCTTATAGGTTAGTTCTCCTGCCTTGCAGAGCTAGGCTTCCCAGTTTAAATCTCAAGCAGGACACTCTTTGTATGGAGTTTGCATGTCCTCCCTGTGCTTATGTGGGAACCTCTGAGTACTCTGGTTTCCTCACAAAGGACATACTGACAAGTTAATTGGCTTCTATCCAAATTGTCCGTAGTATGCGTGTGTATGCATATGATAAGGAACTTAAATTGTAAGACTGATCCTTGAGGGCAGGGACTGATGTGAATGCACAGTATGCAAATCAATTACCATTGCTATATAAATACCTGTAGTAAAATTAAATAAATATGGTCAATTTAAGCATCACCAGTGATGAATGATGACAATATCATACAGGCCATCATGACATTATTGGGAATGATCCTCCAGAGTTCCGGCACATTTCTGTCCATTTGGAGGCTTTGCCCAAGACTGCACATATTTGACATTAATAAAGTCTACACAACACTGCACAAGCAAATTGGTCACATGGACATCTGTAAGTCACGCTAAAATAACCTGATGAAGGTTTGCATGACTTCCATGGAGAGCCTGATTGTGTCTACCACTCTACACACAAAGCTGCAGAATTAGCTTCTAATTAACCAGGGATTCATATCTGCAAAACAATCATCTTCCTTGTCTAGATAGACAACAGTTTTAATATCGGTTCCAATTTTATCAATTCCTGTACTGTCCAGCTTTACCCAAATATATTTAAGCCAAACACTAGATGCCTTCCTGTGTCAAAATATGTATACACAGGCCTTCCGTTTCACTGTTTTTATAGCAGTTGTTGGTTTTTATGGGGTCTGGCTTCTATCTTGACCCCTCTACTCCTTTCTCTTACATTCAGCTAAGAACAGTTTAGATCAGACGCCAGCTATGCCACAAATATTAAAAAAACTAAATTAAGTTTGCAATTTTGTGTTGGGCCACATTCATAGCAATCTTGGAAATAAAGAGGCTGGTTTAAGTATTGCATAGCAATTTGTGTAAACATAAGTATGAGTGTTAATTTACTAAAGGCAAACAGCATGTTCACTTCACAAATAATACCCAACGTACAAGGAAATTAAAGAAACTAAAATTTTTGCTTGCTCATGATTAGATGGTCAGCAGAGCATCTCCTTATTCACTAAGTTCCGGGGACAATTCCCTTACAAACTGCAACTTCTGTTGCAGCATGAACAGTCTATCTGTCTTCAGTAAACCAACATCATAACCTCAGGGCAAGTAACCAATCATACGTTTCATCCTAAATAAAATAAATATATAGTCAGATTGTCATGAGCATTCTACTAGTGCTCTAAGTCTCTCAAGTGAACAGAAAAGCATCCAATTCTTACTCTCTCTCTGGGCTTCCCAATAAAAAGGCTTTCAAGCTTGTCCTTTCAGTTTTCTGGCCCCAATTAGTCCTGACCATGTGTGCATTCTTGACCTCTCTGTGGCCCTTATCAACCTTAGGAAAGCCTTAGGGAAGTAATGTATAACCTTTACACTAGTGTGCTTATGGAGTGATCAATCT